AGTACACAGCAAAATAGAGAAGTGATTACTAGGCTAGAAAGCTAAGACAAGGATTCCTAGTGCTAAGAACCGTACAGACTGGTGTAAAAAAACTGGGTTGAAGATGCAGAATGACAATGAACTGGGGTGAGAAGAACACATGGACAACAAACGCCAAGGTCCAATTTTACCATTTCACWATCGTGAAATCCATCTCACTTTAATATCCATTCACATAGACAAACATGCTGAACACATGTATTTATCAGAATGGTCAAATAGTAGATTTTTTTAGTTGTTTAAAAAGAATAGATTACACATACTACACCTAAAAAAATCTAAAAAAAAAAAAAAGGTTGGCAAGTCAGAAAACATTAAACTCAAAAACTCAAAAAACATTATAGCTAATTGCCAGAACTGAGATTGCTAAGGCAATCTGAGTTTGTCTCCCTATGGTATATGCATTATAATAGCATTTTACTATCACAAGCTATTTCCCCACTAGGAATGATGCTTTATAATGCAATGTTAATAACACATTTTTAAGCAAAGAAAGTGTTATGATGAGACTGATTCCTATAAAGTATAGAAAAGGTACAATGAATCAATGAAGCTGACTGTGAAAAATAAGAAAATCCAAGCAATATAGCCATTAAAGTGTTAAGAAAATCAGACTCTTTTGTACCAAGACAATATTCAAAGCCTCAAGGGAAAAAAAAGGAGAACACATCTGTTCCTGCTGACGTCAGGAGGCTAAGGGCCAGGCTCTACTCTTGTTCAGGCACAACTTTCATTGCCTTCAACTGAAACAAACTGTGACTTAGGGAAGAGCTTGGTCTTGGCAGAAAAGAAAAAACATCGTATCAGGAGTGCAAATGCCAACAGTGTATTTTGTGAGTACTTACCAGTGTTGCACAAACCAGAAGATTGACAGTCCCTGCCCTGAAAATCTGACTATCTCAATCTAAGTATACAACCASCATTAAGAGGTGGATACTTTCTATGTTGTCAATATGGCACATTGTAAGGAGAAGACCAACGTTATGGAAGACAGGGAATGTCTTTGTCTCACTGATCAAGTATCCTCAATTTGGAAATAAAAAGAAATTTTCATTTGTATTTTTATTTTTTCAATCAAACCGCAAGTGGCACACTTGGCCCTAATTTGCACAAGGGACTGAAAAGATGACCTTCAAATGTCTCTTCTAGCTTAAATTACTCTAACCATTATGTCAACATTTGAAATACTTTTAAAACTGATAGATGCCTAAGCACGTTACAGAGGAATCRGGTACAAGATTAAGAAAGCAAGACAAATTCATTTTCATAAACTGATGTTAATATGCTAAAAGGCATGATTAAAGATTGTTTTGAGATGATGCATTCTTATATCCCTTTCAACATCACTAAGACTGTTTTGTTGGCAGTATGGACTGCATTTATTATATTCTCCTTAGGAACTCTAAAATAACACTCAAAATTCTATGTCCCTTGTGTGTGACACTTGTTTTGTTATGTCTGTATGAATGCTTACCTATGTTTTCTTGCCCAGAGCTGTCATAAAGCGCGTAAAATTTCACAAGAACTGTTTATTCATTGTTTTCATTTTAATGAAGTTAGAAGAAATCCTGTAAATCCCTGTTAGTAAAATGTACATTAGCACTTAGTTCAATATTAAAAAGAAAACTAATAAGCTTATGACAAAATATGATAAATAAACTGGTTATAACAGATCTATTATTGTTCTCCAGGAAAAAACATGCTGGCTTTGACTACAGCAACTCCAAAGGCATGTGAGTTTTGGAGCATGGTAAGAAAACCTAACACACATAAAGACCATACTGGCATGTTAGTAGGATGGGTTAGGGTATTGTTTACACTTAACACAAATAGTTTTCCTAGTTTCAGAAACAGATTTTGAATAAATTTKATATGCAGCAGTATGTTCATCCCGTGTTTTCACCATATAATGTTAGAATAACACAGATTTCCTTGCTCAGATATACAATCCATTAGGGAAAGGTATTGTAAATCAGAGGCACCTCTACCAGCCCTTCTGTTCTGAGCCAGCTCTAGGAGACTTCTCTTCATTAGAAACTTGCTAACCATCCTAACATTTGTAAGACATTCTTATATGTGCTTGCAGAAGTATAGCTTAAATGGAAGCAAAAATGTGTATGCAGGTTCTCTCCTGCATACAGTATTTTAAAACAGAAGGGCTTCAGAAAGCCACAATAAGCTATGAGATACTGCTATTTTTACTACTGCATGCATTTTTGATGTGTTAAAGGCCTAGGCAAAACTGAGATGAAAAGCAGGTCCACGGGACATTCTCATGCTCTTTCTGAATGTGTACTGAGAGCTCGGGAGAAATATGTAGGAGGTCAAACCTTCTAAGTTATGCAGACATTGAAGTCAAACCTAGAAGTAATGTATGGAGTGATCTGCTCTACTCCATTTTACTGTTAAGGTTCACAGCTCATAAATACATGAGTATGAGGGATAGAACCTACATTTTTCAGCGCATCCTCACTGAAAAAGAGCTCAATATCTGCAGATACACAAGTGACAAACGTTTTACTATTCATTTGATTTCTATCATATCTCTCACTTTTAAAAAAAGAGAAAAATCTCCCAGCTTTCACTATGTTGAGCTCTTCAGTATCTAGTTAGTTCCTTTTTTTCCCCACCGTCTACCCTTTTAAAGTTGAAATGCTAAGGGCTTTTTTTAATCAATTGTATTTTTATTTMCATTCAGTTTAAACTGAGTTAATCCCTGATTGATAAATACAAGATTATATTTTCTAACTAGAATTTTCTAAGTATCTCTGAATGTTGCTAAGTGATGCAAACCAATCCTGAAAAGCAAAAGATGTCAAGGAGCATACGTAAGCATGGCCTGCCACACAGTATGGATCCCTACAGTAACTGGCCTCCAGTCAGTCTTCCTAGTAGCCAGTCTCAGAGCCTAGTCTAGTCTAGTCTCCAACTGCCTCCTGCACAGACACACATGTGAATGTGATCTCCCCAGTATCTGGCTTGGACCTCATGGTCCTTTCAAAACTGGTAGACCCTTGGTTCTCTCCTGCATCCAGCCCAGGCTTATGTCTGCTTCAACACCTGAGTTTCAAGCCACTGCCATTCTACTTGATTGCAAATCCAGCTAAAATTTTSCTAGCGAATATTAATATATGTTAGCAAACTGACATATAAACTCATAGAATATGCATGCACTCTGGTCTCTGCAGTTATCTGGCACCACAGACACACAGGCCCCATGACCTGTGGTCCTCATTCCAAGGTGCTCACACGTAGACCCTCACTCCCTTTCCAGTTACTGGACCACATGCTCAAAGTCCCTGTGGCTTGTGGTCCCCACTGAAGGTGCTGCTGTTTAGACCTTCACATGCTCTGGTGTCTCCAGGTGCTGAGACCACAGATACGCAGGCCCCTATGGCTCATGAGCCAAGTCCAGCTACTGGCACTAAGACTCTCACCTTTGAYTCCCCCCCTACACATTCTGTAAATTTTGTACAATTCCTAAATCTTCTTCCCTGCTTCCTGTAATGTATCCCCTCCCCGTAGGCAGTGATGTCCTCAGGCAGTCGGTTCTCCTGGGAGATTTGCTGGTGGCTCTTCTTGCTGAGTGCCATCCCTGGCCCCTGAGGCTGATGCCTCTCTTGTGAAAGCTCTGTGAGGGGCCAGGCAGGGTGTCCACTTCTCCAGTTTGCCTCCGGCCTTTTGCTTGCGAAGATGACCTTTAACTACATAACTTAACAAAGAAATTAAAAGTATCACTGTTGAAACACACACAACTCTGCACATTCACATCTGCAGTGCCAACTAATGTAATAGTTTTGAAATCGGATTAAAGAGGTGCAGCCCACAACCAGTGCAACTGTAGGGCTGCACAGGAATGGGCAAAGATATTAGCATACTTGATAGCCGTATCATAATTGCTATAAAAGAAATACATGGTATTTCCAAACTAGAATTAAGGTTTTATATTTCTGGGAGACAGAAACTAAGCTTCTTACCYTAATGAGGTTCCTTTCCTCATTTCTGCTGCCTTCTGCCATAGCATCTAACCTGCAGGGCAGCTCTCAGAGCTCCGCTTTTGATTCAGACTTCACCATCATGGCAAACGGCAGGTTTTCCAACCCRGGTGTTTTCCTAAACCTTTCCAGGGCATTGCCTGGCTGTCCATGCAGGAGAAGGGGCCTCACAGAGCCTTGTGAACACCTGCACGCAGTGCATGCATGCTTCCCTGGGAGTCTCCTACCAGGATTTTTTCCTGAAGAGGCACAACCCACATTGCCTGTGAAACACCAACAGCCCTTGGGTGAAGCCATGTCCCGGGCACACGTGTATCCCAACGGGACCGCCTGCTGGTATTTACGCAGCCACATAGCTCTGCGAGTCCGGCACGTGGGATCCGCTCCTGGGGCTGTAAGTGGTGACAGGCACCCAGGCTGTTCCACGCGCCTGCTGCCCAGTAGGTGCCCAGCACCCTATAAATAACGAGTGCTCGCACYGCTGCCTGCTCGCGGACCTCAGAAACGGGAGGCCGCCCTTGTGAAGGGCAGCGCTTGTCCCGGTGACCTTGAAGGCAGCAGAGCCTGTGCCCCACTCGCCTCCCCCCAGCAACAGCTGCATTTTGGG